AGATGGAGGCGTGGCGATGGCGAGGCCCTGGGAGCAAGGGCGGCGTCATTTTTTGGTATACCCTAGGTGGCGGCTCCTCTTTTAACTTTCACCGTAGTCCGATTTACTTTTCACCACCTCTCAGTTTTAAAACCATCCAAGTTTACTTTACGGGTAGTTTTGGAAGTGGTTTTGGTTGATGTGGTATCCTACATGGTGTTATGCCAGCTACAATGTATAAAGACTATGTTGATAGTCCATGATCAATTAGACTTTACCAAAAAAAATATAGAAATAAAATTAAAAAATTGTCCAAATACTTTTTTCTGGGAATAATATACAATTAAATAAAATCCTAAAATCAGATTTGATCTTAGAAAATTGTTTTAGCTAAAAAAATATGACACTAGTTTCATTCTTTCAAAAATCATTCTCTATATTATAGCACCTAGCATAGAATTGTTCGAATCTTATATGATCTCTATTGTTGTTGTTTTAGTAGATGCTCTTTTTATATGTTATAATTAGTCTATGCTGATGATACAGAGCACATAGAAATTCAATTGACTTTGGTGCTAACACATGCTCACAACATGCATCCACACTCAAAATATGAACATACACATTCATACCCTTCTCATTTGAGGATAGATCTTGAGATTAATTAACAAAGTCATTACAGACATTTCATTGAAATTTGGTAATATTTTGTTAACTTGATTCAACAACATTCTCTCATGTGTTTGTGTTAATTTTATGCTAATAATTCAAATCTCATCAAGTATAATTCATTTGCATGTTTATAAACAAGAAACAGAAAAATAAAAGGATGTTTCTTTGCATTACGATGGTATTTAGATGACGAGGCATGTTTGAGTCAACACATACTAATTATAACATATATAACTAGACCATCTACTGGCAAATAAACATGGGCATGGCTAGCGCCCGGACGCTAGCCCCACGCCCACACCTACCCACTCACGTCTCGCCTGCTGCACTCGTCCGCAAGCACGTGGGGCCCACCCTGTGCTAGTGGGGACCGCCTCTACCAGTGCTCACTTCCCGAGCCTGACATTGTACTTTCAATGGTACGCGACGTTCCCGTCGACAGCGAGGCGCCTGCACTGACTTCGTCAATCTCGAGATGTGCCGGTATAGCCTTTCGAAGGTGCTCATAGGGGTAGGGTTTATGTGCATGTGTTCATATGGGTGAATGTATATGCGTGTTATGAGCGTCTACGTATGTACCTGTGTAACTCTCTCAAAAAAAAGAAAGGTGAGGAGGGAGATGCAACACCTGGTCTAGTTTTGAAATATCCAGATACAACAATTGCAACATACGTCTAAAAATAAATAAAACATTTAAAACATGTATCTAAAACAATTGCAAAACACCTAAAAACACTTGAAACCATTATAAACATACGCAATATCTAGATAAAATACTTGTATCATATGTGTGAAAATATATGCAACGTTCAGATAAACACACTTGCAACATACATAAAAAAATAGATGAAACATTGAGAATAGGAGTTTGCAATATACGTGTACAACCATTGCAGCATCCAGATCTAATTTTACAACATATGTACAAAACAATTGAAACATACCTATGAAATATCTTAAACACTTCAAACATACATTTGCAACATAAGGGAGGCCAGGACCGGTCGATTCCAGCCATCGGGGTCGGAGAGCGTAACATCTTCTTGCTGCTTGGGAGAATAAAGACTCGTCGGGTGTGGAGTTCACCGGTGTAGAACTCGTCGTTCCGCTGGGGAAGGCCGCGGCAGGGCGTCATGAGCTGGGCGCAGGCGGCACACGAGTTCCGCCCTAGCCACGGTGAGCTGGGCAAGCGAAGCGCGAGAAGTGGACGGGCAGGCTCTGCCCAGGCTGCGGTGAGCTGCACGCGGGCGAGCTCCACCATGGCTACGGCGAGCTGGGCACTCTCTGCCCCAACTGCGGCGAGCTGGGCAGCCTTCGCCCCGGTCGAGATGAGCGTAGGCGGCCGCACGCAGGCACGAGATGAGCGCGGGGGCGGGCGGGAGGCACGACTTCAGTGGCGGAGCCTGGCGTCGTAGAGGCGAGCGAGGGCCCCTGAGCGGAGGAAGCAGAGGTGGTCGCCGCTGGCGGCGGCGGCGGGTGGGGAGCGGGGCTTGGGTGAGCGTGAGAGGTGGAGTGGGAGTTATTTCTTTTTGTTTTCGGAGTCGGCGTCCGGATGAACAGACGCCCGCGTAGCAACATTATTGAATAAACATCAAAGGACATATAAAAGATTCAAATAATTCTAAGCTAGGTACAATAATATAGAGCATGATCTTTGAAAAAAATTTGAAACTGGTTTCATATTTTTCTAAGCTAAAAGAATTTTTCTAAGATTAGTTTGGATGTTGGGATTTTAATTTTCTTATTTTCTAGAAAAAATATTTGGACAATTTTCTTGAAAAAATCTATATTTGTTTTATAATAAAGTAATAGACTCCTGACGTGTCATGTCAGCTAAAATCGCTTTCATCTTAGGAACAACTTCGGGCGGTTTTAAAGGTTGGATGAGATAAAAAAAAGGAACCTGTTTTTTTGTTGGACGAGGCAAATCGAACGGGTAAAGTTGAAGTAGGTTAAATCGACTTTTTCTGTTAATTTTTAGTGGATTTTTTCTTTTTCTTTTTCTTTTTTTGAGCAGAGAGTGGATTTTTTTTTCTGTTTATATGAAAACAGACCCTGAGTCTCCGTCGCTCAGGCCCACGGACCACACTAATTGCGTGTTTGACGGAGCACTATTACGCTGGGCTGACCAGTCTTCGGGGACCGTCAGAATGAAGATTTGGAAAGGGGCCACGCGACCCCCAAATTTCGTTGTTTATAATAAATGGTGCAGTGAGGAACAGGTGATTCCTCTAAAGTGGTATCAAACCACGTGCTGTACTTGCGGATACTACCGCAAAGACTTCCGGAATCCGGAGCACTTCCCATCTGAGGTCGGTCTTTCAAGTTTCAACCCTCCACCGTATGAATCACTCCGGACGGACCAAAAAGCCACGTAAACTAAATGGAAGTCATTTTGAAAGCTTAAAAAAAACCCGGACTTTTGTGCCGTCAACGGTAGAGTTGTGTTAAACAGGGGAGTCCACTTCCCTCTGCACTTTACCGAACCACCTCCACTTCCCGCGTTCACCGCGGCGGCCGTGCCCGTGCACCACCGACGCCACGGCACGAAAACAAGCCCGCCGAGGCATGGAGGCACCACGCCCGTGCCTCCCCGGCCTGCTGCTCGCGCTGCTTCCCTGCTGCTGCCTGCTGCCCCTCGCGGCCCCGCAGTCCTCCCAGCCGGCGGCGGACGAGGCGCAGCTGTTGCTCCAGATCAAGCGCGCGTGGGGCGACCCGCCCGTGCTCGCCGGATGGAACGCCTCGTCCGCGGGCGCACGCTGCGCGTGGCCATACGTGGGCTGCAACACGGCAGGCAGCGTCACCAAACTCACCCTCGCAGACGCCAACGTCTCAGGCCCGTTCCCAGACGCCGACGGCGGCCTCGCAGGCCTCACGCACCTCGACGTCTCCAACAACAGCATCACCGGCGTGTTCCCGACCACGCTGTACCGCTGCGCTTCGCTGCGGTACATCGACCTATCCGAGAACTACTTCGGCGGCGAGCTCCCCGCGAACATCGGCAACCGCCTGGCGGCGACCCTGACCACGCTGGTCCTCAGCGGCAACGAGTTCAACGGCACCATCCCGAGGTCGCTCTCCAGCCTCCTCAACCTCCGGCATCTCGAGCTCGAGAACAATCGACTCGTTGGCACCGTCCCGGCTGGGCTCGGTGCGCTGACGAGGCTTCAGATGCTGTGGCTGGCGTCCAACCCGTTCGACCCTGGCGAGCTGCCGGCGTCATTCAAGAACCTGACCAGTCTAGTCAGCCTCTGGGCGGCGCAAAGCAACCTCGTCGGCGACCTCCCGAGCTATTTAGCGGATATGCAGGAGTTGGAGGTGCTGGACCTCTCGGAGAACTCGTTGACAGGAAGCATACCTCCGGGGGTTTGGAGCCTGAAGAAATTGCAAAAGATGACAGTGTTCAGGAACAAGCTCACCGGCGACATGGTCGTCGACGATGGCTTTGCTGCAAAGAGCTTGACCATAATTGACGTCTCCGAGAACAACCTTACTGGAGTCATTCCGGAAGTCTTCGGGCATTTACAAAACCTCAGAAAATTACACCTCTTCAGCAATAACTTTTCAGGCGAGATACCAGCGAGCATCGGCCGGTTGCCATCTCTATGGACATTGAGATTGTACAGTAACAGGATTACTGGCACGCTCCCGCTGGAACTCGGGAAGCACTCGAGCTTGGGTTATGTAGAGGTTGATTACAATGAGCTCACCGGCGCCATTCCAGAAGGGTTATGCGCCGGAGGCCAGTTCCATTACCTCACCGCTGTGAACAACCACCTGAACGGCTCCATCCCAGCGGGCCTTGCCAACTGCGCAACTCTGGTAACCCTGGATCTAGACAATAACCAGCTCACCGGCGACGTGCCAGAGGCTCTATGGACAGCCACGCAGCTTGAGTTCCTATCACTACAGAGTAACCATCTCACCGGGAGTCTTCCGGCCTCGATGTCTGCCGTCCTTACGACGCTACACATAGGGAACAACAAATTCGGTGGCAACATTCCGGCTTCAGCAGTTATGCTCCAGGTGTTCACCGCCGAGAACAACCAGTTTTCTGGCGCGATACCGGCGAGTCTTGGAGACGGCATGCCGCTGCTGCACAAACTGATCCTGTCGGGCAACCAACTCTCTGGCGCGATCCCATAGGCGGAGCTAGCTAGGTGGACATGTGGTCCATGGACCACACTAAAAATTAGTAAAGGTTAAATTATAGTAGACCTCTCTAAAATCATAAAAATTGTATATGAATCACTCTATAATTTCGTTTTACATCTAAAATAGACCCTTGCTCTAGATCCTAGTTACGCGAGATCCCCAAGAGCGTTGCTAGCCTGAGGCAGCTGACGTTTATGGACATGAGCAGGAACCAGCTCAGCGGCGCGATACCGGCCGAATTGGGCGCCATGCCGGTGCTCAGCGTCCTTGACCTTTCGTCGAACGAGCTCTCCGGCGCGATACCTCCGGAGCTTGTGAAACCAAACCTCAACGCCCTCAACCTGTCCTCCAACCACCTCAGTGGCCAGGTCCCGATCGGGTTCGCCACGGGGGCCTACGACAACAGCTTCCGCGACAACCCCGGCCTTTGCACCGAGGCTCCGGTACCCGCCGGCGTGCGCTCCTGCGCTGCGGCGGGATCACAAGACAGGGGTTCTTCCCGAGGCGTCTCACATGCACTCCGCACGGGCCTCCTCGTCGCTGGCGGCGCGCTCCTCGCCGCCGCGGCCTTCGCCCTGCTACTCGTCCGCGACATCAAGAAACGGCCGCGCGTCGCGGTCCGGGACGAGTGGAAGATCACGCCGTTCGTCCAGGATCTGGGCTTCGGGGAGGCATCCATACTCCGGGAGCTGACAGAGGAGAACCTCATCGGCCGCGGCGGTTCCGGCCACGTGTACCGGGTCACCTACACCAACCGTCTCAACGGGAGCGCGGGCACGGTGGCCGTGAAGCAGATATGGATCGCCGGGACGCTGGACGAGAAGCTGGAGCGCGAGTTCGAGTCGGAGGCGGGCATCCTCGGGAACGTCCGGCATAACAACATTGTCAAGCTGCTGTGCTGCATCTCCGGCACTGAGGCCAAGCTCCTTGTGTACGACTACATGGACAACGGCAGCCTGGACCAATGGCTCCATGGCCACAACGCCAGCGCTGATGGGCTCCTTACGGCCAGGGCGCCGCTGGACTGGCTGACGAGGCTCAGGGTGGCCGTCGGCGTCGCGCAGGGGCTATGCTACTTGCACCACGAGTGCTCGCCACCCATCATTCACCGCGACGTCAAGACGAGCAACATCCTGCTGGACTCGGAGTTCAGGGCCAAGGTCGCTGACTTCGGGCTCGCCAGGATGCTGGTGGAGGTCGGGGCACCCAAAACGATGTCCGCCGTCGCTGGGTCTTTCGGCTACATGGCTCCCGGTATGGATTTCGGCCCTGTCCATTTTGCTGGGTTCTGTTCTGTACAGAATTTGGGGGCAGTATTTGCTGTATCAAATCAAACGCTGCATGTGCTTACCTGCAGAGCGTGCTTACACGAACAAGGTGAACGAGAAGGTTGACGTCTACAGCTTCGGCGTCGTTCTTCTGGAGCTCACCACCGGAAAGGAGGCCAGCGCCGGCGGTGAGCACGGCTGCCTGGCGGAATGGGCGCGGCACCACTACCAATCAGGGGGGAGCATCCCTGATGCCACAGACAAGAGCATCAGATACGCAGGGTACTCTGAGGAGATCCAGGTCGTATTCAGGCTAGGCGTGCTGTGCACCACAGATATGCCGTCGTCGCGGCCAATCATGAAGGACGTGCTGCAAATCTTGCTCAATTGCAGCGAGCAGACGCGCCAGAAGAGCAAAATGGAGAATGGCCAGGAGTACGAAGCGGCTCCTCTAGCCGTCGAATGGAACAGGAATTGACATGGAAGAAAATAGTGACTTCGACAGCACGGTCAGACTAAGAACCGAACATTGCACATGTCAGTACAGTAAGTCTGGACAGCGTCAATCAACAGATACAGAGATACTTCTGTTAGTACATTTTAGCACACTATAGCTTAGAGTCATGCATCATAACTTGTCACCATGGCCTTTGTGGGGTTTCACACAGTAAATTTCTATTAAATCACACATACATTAGACCAATCAAACATAACAAGCAAATATTATTATTGTAGTTGTTTCTAAAATAAAGGCAGGAGCTCTGCACATTCAATAAAAAATGAGTCCCCCACCTCTCTCTTTATTTTGGAGGACAAGATCACACAGATAAGAACTGGTTGTTTTGTGATATCGCATCAAAAAAGAATCGGCAGGAATGGAACGGCTTATTCAGACATCAGACCTCCGCTTCCACTTTTTTCTGCCGTTGCTAATGCTTGTTGCTAGTGATAATGTACTCCAAGCTCAATGGCACCATCCTAGCTATACCCCGCTGCTAAGGCAAAAAAAAAAAAAAAAAAAAGAAAGAAAGAGATGCGAATCGCACATTTGCACGAGGGGTCTCGCGATTGAAGGGGAAAAGGGAGGAAAACAGAAAAAGGCTACACTAGGAGCCGAGCTCCTAGATCTATGCAACTTCAGCATACTGGGAGTGTGAGGCTGCAAGAAGTGCAGCTCCGATTCCTGAGCCGTCGTTGGCCAACTTGACAACAACCGATGAGGCAACCTCCTCACCGAGCAGGTAGAAGTACTGGCAAAAGATACAGATTGGCGAATGCACACATTGTAAATAAAGTACTGGCAAATAAAGTATGGCATTGTTCGGGCCACTACTGAAGAAGCATTAGCAGATGAGCGTGCAGTAGCGCTCACTTGCTGTTTTTTTAAAAAAAATTATTAACTAGCAGCAGCAATCATCTGTACTGCAATGTCAAAAAATGTGTAGAGTGGAAAGGCCTGACACTACATCAATGATACAGGGAAAATATCCAGCACTTCGGTTCAAGCAACAGTTGACAGCATATGTCGAGAAGATATATGGGATAATCGGATATAGCCTGAAGAAGTAAATAAAGTACTGTCAATTTTCATAGGCTCCAAGAGCTAACCGTGTGAGGCCATCTCGGGGATCACTAAAAAAAGCATACACTCTAATGCGCAAGCTAGGCAAGCATCAAGTCTACATTGGCAAAACATTGTTAAGTGCCTGGATCATACACTGAAAACAATGAAAATTAATTATGTGAGTCTATTCTTAATATTTTTTAGCTGTCTTACAATTAGGGAACTGCACAAATGCATTGCTGCATTCCTAAGTTGAATATATGAGATAAATCAAACGCAAAACTAGTGCAGAGGACGGGAACCTTGGCCTTCTGCGATTGGAGCTCGATCCGATCCAGATCAGAGAGTTCTCCACAGGGACGGAGGTGGACGCTGAGCTCCAGAAGGGACCTGTACACGGGGGCGACCGGTGTCCACGGCGGGGACAGTGGCGAGCGCAGTCGATGGAGGGCATGGGCCAACCGGCGGAGGCCAAGCACGTCTCCTCGGCAGCTGCGATGACGGCGCGGGCGGGGGGCGCAGGGGCCGCTCGTGTCAGGTGGGGGCGCCGGGGAGGAGGGAAGAACGACGGGCTCGGTGCCGCCTCTCGAGCGACGGGGGCGGCAGGCGAGCGCGGCGGCGCGGTGCGAGGGCGTGGGCGAGGCGGCGCCGGCTAGGGCTACAGCGTCGGCAGGGCTACGGCTCGCGTACCCCTTCGGCGTGGGGGCTGGGGGTTCGGGTTAGTGGGCTGTCGGGTGGGGGAGGGAGGGGGCAGCAATTACCACACTAACCTTCAACGCATAAAATTAATTAGAGCTAATAACTTGCCTTGGAACCAAGAGGCACCAAGAAGCACCCCAACCACCGTAAAAGAGCTTTAAAGAGAATATACCATGCTTGCAAGACCAATAAGGTCTGTGGTGAGGGTGATGACCTTGATGTCCAGCAGCAGCAAGATACTGATGAGCATGTAAAGATAAGAGGTGGCTGTGGTGCTCAGCAGCCAATTATTACAGTTGATGGTATGAAGATGCTTGTGGAATTCAAAGCACCAAAGAAGAAAAATGATGATCGAGAGCAACTCTCTGAGTCAGTGGAACCGAATCAGATTCTCTCTGCTGAGAGGGTATTTATATGATCTATGTTTATTTAACAAATTAACAAGTTGTTCTAAGGAAGTTATTGTAACCATGCGGTTTGCTTACATGGCTTGTTTGACCAGGTCCTTAACATTCTCAAGCGTATATCTGACGGGGAGTGTCTTCTGTTGGGCTTACATCCCAAATTGGCCCGTCCAGATTGGATGATACTCCAGGTTCTTCCAATTCCTCCACCCCCTGTTAGACCTTCTGTCATGATGGGAACTTCTTCCAAAAGCGAGGTGAGCCTACTACTACTATTACAGTAATTATGTTTTGACTTGTTTGCATGGATTGATTGGAATGCTCAGCTCACCGTTATTCTTCTTGGTCTTTCATCTGTTTCTACAGGATGATTTGATTCATCAATTAGCTATGATAATTCGGCATAATGAGAACTTGAGGAGGCAAGAGAGAAACGGAGCTCCAGCTCACATTATAGAGGAGTTTGCTCAGTTGTTGCAATTTCACATTGCTACATACTTTGATAATGAACTTCCTGGCCAACCCAGGGTGAGTAGTCTAGAAAGATGTCTTGCATGTCACCTATAGATACAAGTCTAAATTATCCTTTATGTTTGTTTTTAAATGCTCAGGCCACACAGCGTTCTGGAAGGCCAATTAAATCAATTTGCAGCAGGCTAAAAGCAAAAGAAGGTCGAGTTAGAGAAAACTTGATGGGGAAGCGAGTTGATATCTCAGCCCGTACTGTTATCACACCAGATCCAAATATTAACATTGATGAATTGGGTGTGCCATGGAGTATTGCTTTGAACCTGACATATCCTGAAACTGTCACTCCATATAACATTGAGAGGTAAACCAGTTTACTGAAACGTGTTATGGAAATGTTCTTTTGCTGAGCTTACAACTAACTCCAATGATCTCAGGTTGAAGGAACTTGTACTAAATGGGCCTCATCCTCCCTCAGGGAAAACAGGTGCAAAGTACATTATTAGGGAAGATGGTCAGAGGCTTGATCTTCGTTATGTGAAGAAAAGCAATGATCAGCATTTGGAGCTTGGTTACAAGGTGAGCATTGTATTCATTGTAATTGTAGCGGTAATGCTTTTTATAATCTCATCAGAAAATTTCTTTACTATTTTTGTGCCTCTGGTATGTGGTATCCTCAGGTGGAGAGGCACCTCAATGATGGAGATTTTGTTCATTTCAATCGGTAGCCAGTCTTCACAAAATGTCTATCATGGGGCATCAAATCAAAATTATGCCCTACTCAACTTTCCTATTGAATTTGTCTGTCACATCACCATATAACGTTGATTTTGATGGGGATGAAATGAATATGCATGATCCCCAGTCTTTTGAGACTAGAGCAGAAGTTGTAGAATTAATGATGGTGCCAAAATGTATTGTCTCCACAATCAAATAAGCCTGTGATGGGTATTGTCCAAGACACGCTGCTTGGATGTCGCAAAATCACCAAAAGGGACACACTCATTTTTTTTGAAAGATCCAGACGAACCGGCTTTGGTTAATAATAAGTGAAGAAGCAAACATTCGAGTTTACATGCGCGAGAGGCCCACCCCACCACAGCCTAAGCTGCGCGGGATTTGTTTACCTAGCTAATTACTCACTAACGACTTGAACGACCGTTGCTGGCCTGAAGGCCTTGCATCCTGCTAGGGACCATTGCTGCGCAGTGTCTTTTATCTCCGTGGCCGCTACTTGCGCCAACTTCCAGCATCCCCTAAAGATGACAGCATTTCTCTAGTTCTAGATGATCCAAAGCGTCAGTATTACCAGACTTTTTCCTCGCTTTCCCCCTAAAGGGACACTCTCATTGAAAAGGTGAATAAAGATAGACTTTACTTACCTTTTTGAATAGTATTTTATGTTAAGTTTTGTAGCTCAACGTTATGAAATTTATTCCAGGACGTATTTATGAACATATTGATGTGGTGGGAAGACTTTGATGGAAGGATTCTTGCTCCTGCCATTCTCAAACCAAGGCCTATTTAGACTGGGAAACAAGTTTTCAACTTTATTATCCCAAGGCAAATCAATTTAATTCGGTTTTGTTCCTGGCATTACGGCGAAGAGAAAGGATTTGTTATTCCTAGTGATACTATGGTCAAGATAGAAAAGGGAAAGCTTCTATCTGGCACACTTTGCAAAAAGACTCTTGGAAGAGGCTCTGGGAGTCTGATTCATGTTATTTGGTTTTTTTAATTTCAACAGGGGGGAGGCGTTCTCCACTTGATTTATATATTGGCCCAAAAACCAGCCCGCTTATATAGTTATACAAGGCGTTCCCCACCTGATTTATATAGTTATTTGGTAATTATGCTTCCATTAGCGTTCTGATTCAGAAGTTGCATCACAGTTTAGTAATTTCTTTTTTCTCATTTCTTTGATCTAGTTTCATTTTAACTTGTTCTTTGCAGGGAAGAGGTTGGTCCAGATGCTGCACGCAAGTTCTTAGGTTATACACAGGGGCTTGTCAACTACTGGCTTCTTCAAAATGGTTTCAGTATTGGAATTGGAGATATGATTGCAGATGCAGACACAATGAAAAGCATTAATCGAGCAATTTCTAGTGCTAAGGATAGTGTGATGAAACTTATTAAACAAGCACGCGACAAGAAATTGGAAGCTGAGCTAGGACGCACCATGATGGAGTCATTTGAAAATAAAGTAAATGAGGTAATTGTTTGTGTCTTTGATTATGGATTGCCTTTTATTTTATATATAGGTCTTCCAATCAAACAAAAAAACTATCACTATCAGTTGAGTTGTTTAACATCAAGTCCACTCTCTTTTTATTCCAGGTTCTCAACACGGCTGGTAATATGGCTGGAAGCAGTGCGCAGAAGCGCTTGTCTGACAGCAACAATTTGAAGGCTATGGTCACTCCAGGCTCAAAAGGCACTTTCATTAACATTTCGCAAATGGCTGCTTGTGTTGGACAGCAAAATATCGAGGGCAAGCGGATCCCATTTGGTTTCAGTGGTCAAACATTGCCACATTTCACGAAAAATGACTATGGTCCTAAAAGTAGTGGATTTGTGGAGAACTCTTACCTTTAGGGTCTGACAACGCAAGAATTTTTCTTTCATGCTATGGGTGGTAGAGAAGGACTGATTGATACGGCTGTGAAGACTTCAGAGACTGGGTATATCCAACGGAGGCTTGTGAAAGCTATGGAGGACATCACGGTGAAGTATGATGGCACTGTAAGAAATTCCTTGGGAGATGTCATTCTGTTTCTATATGGGGAAGATGGTATGGATGCTGTTTGGATTGAAGAACAAAATTTGGACTCTTTGAAGATGAAAAAGGATGAGTTTGGTATTGTATTCCGATATGAACTGGATGATGAGAATTGGAGGCCTAACTACTTGCTGCCTGCCCATTTTGATGATTTGAAGGCCATCAGTGAATTCAGAACTGTGTTAGAGGGGAGGTTCATAATCTAGAAGCTGACAGGTTCCAGCTTGGGACTGAGATTGCTACAAATGGTAATCATACATGGCCTTTGCCTGTCAACCTCAAGTGGCTTATCTGGAATGCCCAGAAGACATTCAAGATTGACATCAGAACATGTTCTGACATGCACCCAATAGAAATTGTGGAAGCAATAGATAAGCTGCAAGAAAGACCGAAAGTTGTGTCTGGTGATGATGCTATAAGCATTGAGGTTCAGAAGAATGCCACCTTGTTCTTTAATATCTATCTTCATGCCACATTTGCTAGCAAGAGGGTCTTGAAGGAATACATGCTTACAAGGGAAGCATTTGAGTGGATTATCGATGAGATTGTTTGGAGGTTTTCACAGTCTTTGGTGGCCCCTAGTGAAATGATTGGATGTGTTGCTGCGCAGTCCATTGGGGAACCAACAACTCAAATGACTCTGAATACCTTCCATTTTGCTGGTGTCAGTGCCAAGAATGTTACCCTTGGAGTTCCCAGATTGAGAGAGATCATTAATGTCGCCAAGAAGATAAAAACTCCATCGAGCCTGGGGTGAACAAGATGATAGAATTGGCTAAGAGTGTCCAATGTGCTTTAGAGTACACCACACTCGTAGTGTGACTCATGCCACTGAAGTATGGTATGATCCTGATCCTATGGGAACCATCATTGAAGAGGATTTGGAATTTGTCCGGTCATGTTATGAAATGCTTGATGAGGATATTGACCTAGATAAGATTTCTCCTTGGCTGCTGCGTATTGAGCTTAATCGTGAGATGATGGTTGATAAGAAGTTGAGCACGGTGATATCGCCAATAAGATCAACCATGAATTTGATGGCGACTTATCATGCATATTCAGTGATGACAATGCAGATAAACTTATTCTTCGCCTGCGCATCATAAATGATGAAGTTTCAAGAGGAGAAATACTAGATGAGTCTGCTATGGATGAAGTTTTCCTCAAGAAGATAGAGAGTAACATGTTGGCAGAGATGTCTCTTCAAGGCATTCGGATATTAACAAGGTGTTTATAAAAGAGGTGAAAGTTAACAAATTGGATGTGAATGATGGTTTCAAAGAACATAAGGAATGGATGCTTGATACAGAAGGTGTTAATCTCTTGGCTATCATGTGTCATGAGGATGTTGATGCTACAAGAACAACAAGTAACCATTTGACTGAAGTGATTGAGGTTCTTGGAATTGAGGTTGTTCATCGAGCTCTCTTTGATGAACTTTGGGCAGTCATATCTTTTGATGGATCCTATGTAAATTATAGGCATCTGGCTGTTCTTTGCGATACAATGACATACAGAGGTCATCTGATGGCTATTACAAGGCATGGTATCAATCGCAATGACACTAGACCTCTTATGAGATGTTCTTTTGAAGAAACTATGGATATCTTGTTCGATGCCGCTATACATGCCGAATCTGACTACTTGAGAGGTGTCACTGAGAACATTATGCTTGGCTAGCTTGCTCCTATTGGTACTGGAGGTTGTGCACTATTTCTAAATGACCAGATGCTGCAGCAGGCCATTGAACTTCAACTCCCAAGCTATGTGGATGGTCTGGACTTTGGCATCACACCAGCACCTTCACCTCTCTCTGGGTCACCATATCATGAAGGATTGATGTCCCCGAGTCATCTCCTGAGTCCAGATTTCAGGCATTCCCATTGATACATATGCTTCATTTTTGCCATATGTCAAAGATATGTCATTGTCACCTGTTCCTTCATAAGGTGGTTACTCGCAATCGTTGTTGTCAGGGGGATACAATCCTAGGTCAGAAAGGTACATGGATGTATCACCGATATATACTCCATACAATGTTGCATCACCAATTAATGCTTCTACTTCAACACCATATAGTCCAGTAAGTCCGGTTTACTCAGCCACAACTCTAGTTTACACGCCCATAAGTCCAGATTACTCCCCTACATCTAGATATAATCCTTCTTCTCCAAGTTATAGTCCCACTTCGCCTGCATACAGCCCCACATCACCATCGTATAGCCCAATCTCACCATTCTATAGCCCTACTTCTCCATCATACAGTCCTTCGTTGTAACACCCTCGGTGTTACATTGTACTGTTTTTGCTAAAACACTGCATGGCATCAAACTTGTCTGTGGATGTGTGTAATATAGGGTATAAAGTAATGTACATAACTTGAAACATTCATCGGAAACACAAAACAAATGCTACATTTCATGTCATTTTATATCGTTTAGGGTTCTAAGTAAATTTTTATCGAACAAAAGTGCAATAGAACGCTTATGTGAGATTTTGATATAGTTCATAGTGCGAACTTCGTAGGTGACGGTGAATACCTGTGGTCGGGTACGAGAGTCACTAGCTAGCTTAGTGGGTAGCTTGGAAACCGAAAGTGACGTGAATCCAAACGAATGACGTAGGCGTTTCTTAAGTCGGAGGGTGTGTCGACCAGGCATAGTTCGGACATTTTTAGGGGAGGATCGGCTTAAGAAGTGGCGAGGTGTTTTAGATTAGTTTGATAGCCCTATATACCCTCTGGAGCATAGAACAACTGGTTTGGCGTTTGGAGCATCGGGTTTGAGTTTTTGAGCCACTTTAAAAAGCGTGCACGACACATTGTCCATCTCCGGGCGTGGTCACCACCTCTGCTCGGCTTTCGACACATTCTTTGGCTGCGCCTAGCGCAGTTACGCCATGCCGCCACGTCCCCCCATCTTTGCGCTTGTGCAAGCAAGCGCCTTGCGCATGGCGCTGCGGTGCTGGCTGTGGTCCCTCGCTTTATGTTGCGCCTTGGTACGCGCTCACGCACGCCGCACGTGTCCAGACGCGCTGTCCGCCCGACGTTGCCGCTCGCTGGCCGTCCGGCCATTACTGCCGCTCGGTTCGCTCTCGCTGTGCGCGCCTGGCTTGCGACTTGCGTGCACACACGTGCACTGGGGTCCAGCGGGCTTGAATGCTGCCTCCTCCATCACATCCGCTGCGCGCCACTGCCCGACGTCGCGCCTGCTTGCGTGTTCGGCTCGTCCGAACCGATGTCGCCACTCTCCCGAGCATGCTCACGCGGCACCGCTTGCACGGCCTTCACTGCTTCCGTTGACGCAGCGCAGCTACACACGCGTGGGACGGCTACCTCACTGTGCCTTCACGTGGGATGGCTACTCACTTTGTGCCTCCCTAACCTCCGTGTTTCACAGTCACCGTGTCGCGGAGCTACGGTCGCGCGCCGGAATGCTGAACTCGTGCGCACGTCTGAGGGTCGCGATGATGTCCTGCGTCATGCCAAGCCCGCTGTTGTTGTAGTCATACGTTGTCGGGGCCTCAGTTGGAGTTTTCCCCGTCGTCGAATCCATTTAGCCGAGCACCGTCGCTCACCAAATTGGCCGAGGTGTAGTCCATCCCTTTCCAATTCACTGTGCGCCTAAATAGCTAGAGTGGTTAGCTTCCTATTTGAGTCATCTCGACAGGCTTACTTCCTACGGTGAGGTAATGGGGAGAATTTCCCCTCGGCGGGCCGCCATGGCCGGCGAGACGAGTTCTCGGCCGAAGCGCTGCTCCTTGCTCGTTTGTTTCAATCGGGCATGGCGGTTGCCTCTCCTTGACTCATTTTCCTCTTTCGTGCAGTGCCTCCGCTGACGGTGCTACAGGTCGCCGGGGACGTCCTCTCGGCGGCCGGCGTGAACCGGAACCACATTCGAGCAGGCGAGCAGAGCAAGCTAGCAGCCGGCGGTGCGTACTGTTGCTCTTAGCTTGTTGACATCATCTGCGCGCATCCCTACGTCACAACCATTTTAGGGTCGCTTTCTTGTAGGAAAATAAAGCCCTGAATACATTAGAAATACGCCCACTTGTTAGCTCGCGTCCGCGCCATCCGCGTGGGCCGCTCGTGTCCGTGCCGTCCGCGTGGGCCGCTCGCGTCTACGCTCCCGCCTGGGCCAGCTAGGCCGGTCGTATGCCGCTCGCCGTCCTCGCGCACCTCGCAGCCGCGCTGGGCATCCGCGTCGTGCTACTGGTATCTTTGGGTCATCCAGCGCTTCAGATCCGCGCCCGCCAGACTAGGCGTGCAGCTCACAGCGCCGCCGCCGCTGCTAGCTGCTCAGCGCGCCTCCGCAGGCTCAGGCCAGCGCGTCTGGTCAGGCTGTCAGCGCTTCAGGCGTCGCGCTCCGCTCTGGGTTGGGCTGGTCTATGGCCGCCGCGTTGGGCCACGCTGCGAATTCGTTTTCTAATTTTTCCAGCAATTTACAAATGTTTATTCAATATAGTTCTAGCTGAACTTTGATAAATTATAGTAAATCTTGTAGATGTTCAAAAATAGTGAAATCAAGTTTGTTAGGTTCACAAAAATACCATCTACCTGTTAGTGTATTTAGATTACAGTTAGCTATGACAATGGTAGGTTCATAAATTCAAACTAAAGAGCTTACTATTATGTAGATTAATATTTGTAGGAATTTTTGTGGTAAATTGATGATAGTTATAGCTATGAAAATTTTACAGTAGGCTCACTAGATTATTATGTATTTGCTGTAAATTTTGTAGCCCTAGAGTAAGTCGATAAATAGAGTAGCTATTATCCTTGCTTTATCATATATAGCGTAAATCAACATTAGGAGTAAGAATACATGTAGTTGCTATAATAATAAATGTCATACTTCATACTTGTTATGGGTAACAATAGATATCTTAGTACCGTGGTTGGTAGCGCTAGCTTAGTAGTTAGACATATGTACTTTTAGTTTAAGAGTTGCTGTTGCTATATTATTAAGCATTGCATCATCATTTCATGCATGTAGATCACGAGCTGGTAGAATTCATGCCCATCGACGAACAGGAGTACGACTAGGTGATCGAGGAGTACGAGGAGGAGATCCTCGTATAGGAGGGAGCCCCGGAGCCTATTGGTGCTGACCTTACTGACCCGTCGCCTGCCCAAGGCAAGCCCCGAGTGCATAACCCTATTTTTAATGATCACTGGATATATATATGATGTGCATTTATGTTACAGGCATTTTATGGAAACTACGTGCATAAATATATCTACCTATGAGTCCTACTAGTACAGGTCGAGTAGTTGCTATGCTCAGAATATCGGTAGCGTGAGCAACCTGCCGTTACTACCAAGTAGGTGATAAACATGATCACTCATGATAAAATGGTAAAGGTAAATGGTGATCGAAGGCAGGGATATGGTTTGGGTATTGGTGGGTGTAAGGGGTTGTGTCATACGGCCAATAGGGCATAGCTCGGTTACACTTTTTTCCTGTCTGAGTCGATTAAGGACCGATCGTTGCATAAGGCTTCGTGGGCAAGTCACAGATTTATTGTCCCGAGCGCATACTTGGGTATGGGCGCAGGGAAGACTTGTTGCTCTCTTGTCGTGGATCTAGCTCTTTCCGAACCGACTGATTGGAGGCGGAGATGGTGGAGGTCCTTGCACCGCACTGAGTCTAGGACTCAGGAGTGGGGGTTTGGAGTCCAAGTTTGGATGGGGACCTGGACACCCAGGACAGGAGGGTGATGGATTGGTCCCGCTTGTGCCTAGGGTACAAGCGGGGCGTGTGTTTTCGGGGCACCCAGCTGGGCACATTGGTTCACGAATCGTCGCCGAGTCGGTACGACTTGCTTCGTGTTTAGCACCGTAGTAAGAACTAAAAGTTAAAAGGAGAAGAAATGAAACTACTTGCTCAACTCTTGCTTGAAAGTAGAACAGGTGCTTATATAGACTGGTTAGATGATAACTTAATATGGTTGATAATAATAACATAAATAAGGACTCACTATTAGTATTGCTTTCTGCCAAAAGAAACCAGCAAACCATAAAACTTATCATATTCCTTGGAGTCGGGAAATTATTCCCTCTAGTCGAATAAGTCTTGCGAGTACATTGTGTACTCAGGGTTTATTTACCCCTGTTGCAGGTAATGCATGAGAAGTACCCTTGTGTAGAGGATTCTTCTGGTGGGCTCAGCCGGATCCTCGTTCCTATCGCTAGATGTTTATTTTAATTTCGCTGTTTATCATTTCGCACTCTGACATTTGGTATTGTAATAATGTAATTTTAAGAAACTCTGATGTATGAAATGGACAAGTATTGTAAATCGTTCTCATTATTGGATCCTTGGGGAAAATGTGGATCTTTCGGGTTCTCCCTTAGGGTGTGCCCGACGGATACCGTCCGTTGTAGCTTGCTTTTGGGGTGCTTAGTGTCTGGTGGAAGACGAGCACCTCGTAAGCGTGTTATTTCGGCGGTTCTGCCATATTCGTCACCCTCATACAACCCAACATCACCTACATACAGTCCTACATCACCAGGTTACAGCCCTACATCACCTGGTTATAGCCCGACCTCACCAATTTACAGCCAAACATCGCTAAACTATAGCCCGACTTCACCAAGCTTCAATCTTTCATATGCTGAGTACAATTCTTCCAACACTTACTCTCCAACCGGACCAAGAATGACTCTATGACGGCCAGAC